ACACTTTTTCTCATCTACACCAAACACTCAGTATTTCCTGTGAGGCACTTTCCACACGACCTGTGTCCTGATAATCTGGAATGACACGGTACACCCAACATGTCGTACCGGTGCTATCACATACATCCCTGCCTGTGTGTGCTGTGTATGTACCTATTCGTCCGTCCCACACAATCTCCCAGATTACTCACGGTTTGCATATTGACACTCACGCGTCACCAATGGGCCGCCCATGGGCACGTCATCGGCCGCCCCTCATAGGCCGTCCATGGGCGGCCCATGGGCTGCCTATGTGTGACCGATGGGCATGCCCATGGACGGCCCACGAAGTGCCGGCGCCGTGGGAACTTCATCCTAGAACTTCGCCACCGGCATATCAACCTGCAGCACTAGCACCTGCACCTATAGCCATTCGGCTACGCTGCCAGGGTGGGGAGATATCACCCTGGCGAGGCCAACCTCAAAGACGACCTTGCAGGCTTGACCCGGCTCCAAGGTGGGTACCCTGCAACGATACCGATCCCACACCCTGTGCGTACCCTGCCAATCAGGGACCCTCGCGCGGGACACACCCCGGAAAAACCCTGTAGAGACAATGACAGTTGTAGTAACGGCGCCGAAAAAAATGAGATTTTCCTTTCGAAAATTGCTTTCATTTATGTTTTTGACGCGCCCCTCGCAGCAGCATTTGGTGCTCCTACACGTACAAAAACACTTATCGCTCATCGACACCATTTACAGGAGGATGCATCCCAAAACCCAATCCATCAATAAAAATCCACCATATTGGGGCTCACAACCCAAACTTGGACGACCACTTTCGATATCGCAAAACGTAGTCACGACGTGCACAACCAACTCAGAACGCATCGTGAACCACACGATCTATGAACATATTGCACAAAAATGATCCAAAACAAAATGCATCAACCTGTTCCTTCACAACCAAAAATCGAAACCTTTGCCTTCAGGTTCACGCAACTTGGATGTGCCCGGTCAAGCCCACATTCTTGGACATACGGAGACTCAACTTAACCAAACTATGCTCCGACCAAACCTACTTGCCTCGTGTTCGTAGCACCTCCATGCTTGGTTGCCCCTCCCCCCGGCGACACGCAGAAAAACCTCTCCGTTGTGTGTATCACGTCCAAGGTACGCTTATCTAACTGCAGGCGTATGATGCGTGCCTCGATAACACACCGTGACAAAAGAAAAGTGCCGCCGCTTCACGAGATAGAGTGCCTACAGACTAATGCCGAACGCGGTGTACAAGCAACCTGCTCCCTCCCACTCCAACCAAACACCACACGAAGCGCTAAGCCCGAGAACATTGCCGGCAATTTCGCACCCCATGCGGATGCTGAGCAGTGATCCGTCCGTCTCGTCGAGAAATGCGCCGAGCTCGGCATCGTCGACGTTCACGTCTGTCTGCGGCCGGGATGTCCTCCACGATGAGAATACCTTTCTGTTCACTCTTCGTTACATCATCGGTGTTTTTTTGTGA